TCTAAGTGATTTTACCAATTATCTAGGTTCTCAAGGAAAGAATTACTTGGCTTGAAGCTGCTAATGAGGATCTTTGCCGGGAACTTCATGAATACCGCAGTAAATGCAATGGTGTAGAGCAGTGTGAAAGAGCTTCTCAATATGTGGTACACGCTCTAGTAGAGATTGACACATTTCTTTCATCTTGTTTCTTTCAAGTACTAATATATTTAATTTTGACTTGTAACTTGTCTTGGTTTCTTATTTCACTTTGTAAAAGTATATATTGAGCGTGTATGGTCAGCTAGAAAGACACGTTTACAAATCTAAAACATCATTTTACAGGATGGTAGCCCCTGCTCTGTAAAAAGTGATGGCCTAAAAAGGGGTTTGCAAAGTTTAGAATCGGCAGACTATCAAATGGGTGAAGCAATAACAGGTATCACTTATCTCTGGTTTAGGACTTTGCCGAAAAGAGTTAATTCATAATTAAGTCATCTGCAACTGTGTAAATTTTGTTGTTTTTGTTGTACTATGCATGTAAGCACCTATAGGCTAGCTCATTTGCATCGGTAGTGTTGGGGAAGTTCTTTGAAGTGAAGATGTTTTTACTTAAAGCTATTTTATATACGGTAGGGTTTTCTATTTTAGCAGGAGATTCCCAGGACATTGATGAAGAAGTAGCAAAAGAGTGGGAGCACAACCTTCTGCAAAATACCATGGACAAAGAGCTGCATGAATTGAATAAACGTCTACAGCAAAAAGAGGTACCATTTGCGTGTGTGTATTGCTTTGTGTTAAATTAAAATCAAATTAATGTCTTCTCAGAATTTATGTGTAACATTGCATTTGACATCGGTGCAGTCAGAGATGAAATTTTTTGAAGGTTCTGACACTGAGGCACTCAAGCAGCATTTTGGAAAGAAAATTTTGGAATTAGAAGATGAGAAAAGAACTGTGCAGGTTAACATAAAGCCTTTATACTTGATGGTCTTATTATTGAGGGAACCAATATTCAAGTTTGTTCTTGTTTCGTACTGCAGCAAGATAGAGACCGTTTGCTCGGTGAAGTTGAAAATCTTTCTGCTGGTGATGGACAACCACAAAAGTTGCAAGATGTTCATACCCAGAAGTTAAAGGCACTTGAGGGACAGGTAACCATAATTCTTCTTACAATTGGATGACTATTTCTCTTTGGTTAAGCAGTGGACTTCGTTGTAATCCAATTGTGGCATCTTGTTTAATGTTTTATACCAGATTTCGGATCTTAAGAAGAAACAAGAGAACCAGGTTCAACTTTTGAAGCAAAAACAAAAAAGTGATGAAGCAGCAAAGCGGCTGCAAGATGAAATCCAGTCTATAAAGGCACAAAAGGTTTAGACTCATCACTCATATTTTTTTCCTATTAAGGCTAATATTTTCTCTGCATCTACTGATATTATTATTATTATTATATATGTATATATATATATATATTTTTTTTTTTAAATAATAGGTTCAACTGCAACAAAGAATAAAACAAGAAGCAGAACAATTTCGGCAGTGGAAAGCCTCTCGAGAGAAGGAAGTGCTGCAGGTATTTACTTCCTTTCTTTTTCTTTTTCCACTGAACTTTTAAAGTTAAATGGAAGCTCACAAGTGGATTTTCATTTAAAAGGAAACATGTATTCTATGAATTATTATTCTGTATTAATTAATCTATCCGATGTAATGAGTGCGAATTGGAAATTGCAGTACGACTTAGAACCCAATTACCTGTATATTTACTTATTAAGTAGTTTAGAACCCAGTTACCTGTATATTTACTTATTAAGTAGTATATGCGTGTCTATAATTTTTATGAAGTGTGAGCACCTTCTATTTGGATTTATGCATCAATGCTCTAACAGTAAAGGGTGGAAATGAGTGCGTCCATGTTTTAATCATTTTCTAGTCTGAATTGGATTTCCTCTATTACTTATTGCTCTGAACTTTGATTTACGTTTTCTATAATAGCTACGGAAAGAAGGCAGGAGAAATGAATATGAAAGACATAAGCTGCAAGCGTTAAATCAACGCCAGAAAATGGTGAGTATATCTCAGTTGCTTTTTTCTCTTATTAAAACCAAATCAAATTGGGAATATTATCTCAATTGCTGCCTTCATCACAAGCTCTGTGGTACAAGACATTGAATTATGGTAGTTGAATTAAATACTGTCCATTCTTTCAGGTTCTTCAAAGAAAGACTGAAGAGGCTGCAATGGCTACCAAGAGGCTGAAAGAATTGCTAGAAGCTCGTAAATCTTCTGCTCGTGACAGCTCAGGTATGCTTTTCATTGCTGCAGTTCTGGACACTCGTTGCATTCATAATTGCATTTATTATCTCCAAGGAGCTATCGAAATATGAAATTCACATTCATATGTAATTACCAAGTTTCTAAAATTACCTCATGTGGAGAAATGCCTTTTTATAACATAGGGTCTTCACGCTTCACAGTTCACAGCACAGGTCTTCTCCTTTAATGTTAAACTTTCTAATTGTGTAAACTTTTACCAGTTGTTGCCAATGGAAATGGGACACATGTACAGGTAATGGTCTTTGATTCCTCTTCTTTTCATACGTTTTCTGTTCTACCCTTTGGATTTTGAATCATTCTAACTCAAGTTGAACCACTAGGGCAATGAGAAATCCCTGCAACGGTGGCTTGATCATGAGCTTGAAGTTATGGTGAATGTACATGAAGTTCGTCATGAATATGAGAAACAAAGTCAAGTGTACGCATAAATATATGTTTGTTTAATACTGCATTTATCAGATATATTTTTGGAGATTTTAATTATTAAAAGCTGTGATATCCAGACGAGCTGCACTGGCGGAAGAGTTGGCCATGTTGAAGCAATTAAACGAATTTGCTTCGAAGGGCCTTAGTCCTCCAAGAGGAAAGAATGGCTTTGCCCGGTGTGTTTGATGTTAAACATTTGCGTATTTATAATTCTGTCTTCTTCCACATTTTATAGTCTGCAATCTGATGTAATGGTTAACATGAAACATATAGAATCATAGAAACTTAAAATTCCTCTCTCTCTGGTGGTTTATTTGTGTATTTTGTTTGTTCAGAGCATCCTCCATGTCACCTAATGCACGAATGGCCAGAATATCATCACTTGAGAACATGCTTAGCATAACATCGAACTCAATAGTAGCAATGGCATCACAACTTTCAGAGGCAGAAGAACGGGAGCGTGCCTTTACCAACCGTGGGCGTTGGAGTCAATTGCGCTCAATGGCAGATGCAAAGAACTTGCTTCAGTATATGTTCAATTCTCTTGCAGATACAAGGTTTTTTTTTCTTTTTTGACCTAATGTTCTGGTGTGGTTTTACTTTACCTTTTGTTTTTCTTATGGAATTCTAAGTATCATTTCACATGCTGACAGGTGCCAATTGTGGGAGAAAGAAATGGAAATCGATGAAATGAAAGAGCATCTCAAAGAACTCGTAGGTTTGTTGCGGCAGAGTGAGACACGAAGAAAGGAAGTTGAGAAGGAACTGAAGGTGAGAGAGCAAGAGGTTGCAACTGCATTGGCAACAGCTGCCTCGGTGAGAATATTAGTCATTGTGTGAAGTTTCTTCTTGTACTCTTCTTAACCTTGACTCAAGTATGTGAAGGATTTTCTGTATATCTTGGTTACTTTTAGGCTGTCAATGATCAGGAGAACTCACGCAATTCACTGAAACACTTTGCTGATGACATGAATGGTCCCTTGTCGCCAATCTCCGTGCCAGCACAAAAACAGCTGAAATATACAGCAGGCATTGCCAATGGCTCAGTCAGAGAATCGATAGCTTTCATAGATAAGACACGAAAGGTCAATTTCATCCTCCTTTAAATTTTAGAGTTGTGACTTGTTTTCTGTCCTTGGCTAGGAAAACTAAGAAAGTGCAAGTTTCTGTTATTACAGATGGTACCCATCGGGCATTTGCCAGCAAAAAAAGTCGCAGTTATAGGGAAAGCTGGGAAGCTATGGAGGTGGAAAAGGAGTCATCACCAGTGGTTAGTCCAATTCAAATGGAAATGGCAGAAGCCTTGGAGACTCTCGGAATGGATTAGGCACAGCGATGAAACTATCATCAGGTCCAAACCTCGCTTACAAGCTCGGTCAAATGTGATGTAATGTTCTGCAGTCATCTGCCTATTGTTGCCCAAATTTCATCCTTGACCTATAAGCATCGTTCCAACGCATAGCATAGGGAAACCAAGAATCAAGTACAGGTACTATAATGTCACACAAATTATGATTGAGAATCTCATATCATTGAAATAACTTGTTCAGCAAGATAACTAAGCACATCGATTAACCTAGTTCGACTGTTTTGAATACTGCAGTATGCTATAAGTAGCCGTTGAGGATCTTTGCTACTGTCAAGGATGGGATCATTATGGAAAGCATGGGGTTTTTATTGAAAGTTTTGGAATGGTTACTGCGCTCGGAGCATCTTGTAAATTCGTGTTAATGCTGCCGATGATATACTGTGTAGCTAGAAGATGACGCAATGGTGCAAGACTGCAACTGGTGATATACTGGTGAACCGAGAAATCGAGCGAGCTGTGTAATGTTATAGTACATTTCTGTTGATAACAACATAAAAGGAGAGGAAACATCCTTCAAGTTTCAGAAATACGTATAAAAGGTCTCCGTCGTTTTCTTTTTTAGAATGTCGTTTGCGTGTAGCGTTTTCTGTTGCATCAAAGTTTTCGACGAAAGGGAAAACTCTTATAGATTTTTTTTTCCTTGTGTAAACACCGCAAGAGATTGCTTCTATTGTATGCATAATATCTGTAATAAAACAAATGGAATTGAATGAACGTCGCCGTCTTCTTTCCCCTTTCGTTTATATGGCGTTCGAAGATAACCCAAACGACAAGTTGAGGCTGTTTGAAAATTCCCTTGAAACGTATGAAATCATTCTTGGTTTGATGTAGCCGCAGCTGCAGCCGCGTAAGCCGAAGCAATAAGAAAAGCTTCGGTAGGGCAGCTCTCTCACCAGATAAGATCAGCATAGAGTTGATGGGACCAAAATACAGGTATTACAAGATTCTGTATTAACCATACAAGGGAATGCATTTTATCGATGTACTCCAAACCAACCGATACACAATCTCGACATCCTTAACCAAAATATTCATATATTCGACTTGCTGCTAGTCTATATCTGACAATGCTGACCATTTGAGAGGAGCTGGAACCAGTAGTAGCTACTCTGGAGACTCACAGAAGTTGAATAATAGTACAGAATCACACGCGTTGAGACTAGCTTGCAGAAGTGGGCTTGTATCCATTCTAGGAGCGTGCACGTCAAGTTTGGCAGCACCAGTATGCGTAGTGCTCGTCTTTGCGGTGATTGCTAACAAGACCTCCGCATTGTAAACAAATGAAGCTACTCCCATCTGAAAATGCATCCAAAACAATCTGCATCCTGCCAGTTTCCGCCAGTATGGAACTTCCTTGACCATCGGGTCCAAGACCAACCGATGGACCACCCATGTTACATGCTGCTTCTGGTTCAGTCTTCGAAGGATGAGCTTCGGCAATTGCACACTCGGCAAACAAAGAAGCTAGTTGATCAGCAGCAGAGCTTTCTTGCAATCTACTTTTGTACAGCTCACGAGCACGATGCAAGGACTGAAATACAGCCTCGTCCCCACCTCTTGTTCTCATTGCCATAACAACCTGTGCCAAAAACGAAATTAGCATGTGATGAAGGTTCTCAATGGACACTGCTTCTCATCATTCTAAGGCTTCTAACAACATACATATGTCATCTCTTCGTAGCAGCTCAATGATTTAACATTAAACGTAAATGCAGAAGCATCTACAGACATTCATTAGACATACATTGGAGGTTCCAACATCTAGATAGGACTTCATCACACTAGACTAAACCCCACGGAGATAAAACAAGCAAATGATAAACACTACATCTCTCTATATCAACCATTCAGGCAAATCCCAAATGCGAGGAAGATCCTAAATGTAACGTCGGCTTTGGTCTCATGAATTTATTAGATAACATTTGGATGTGAATTCGTAGTGTGATCGAACAATCAGACGTTATTAGTCAAAAACCGTGAAATGAATTCTCTAGCTAAGAAGCTTAATCTTTGTTCAAGAACCCCTCTAAAGCGGTGCTTCGTGATCTCCAAAATCACGACACGAACGCCACAACTATCGACCAACACTATCATTTTGTCAATCTTTAAGTAATAAGTACTAGACAATTAAGAAGTAAGAGAATTATCTTCCTCATCCAACTATTTACGCGAATCGCTTGTGTTCAGCTTCGAAAATCCAAGATATGGTAACATGAAAATCCACTTTTGTTCCAATTTATAAGCACCATATAATGTTCTCTTTACAGTTTACACATTCATACATGATTCCAATCATTTTCTCAACAAAAAAAAAAAACAAGAACAAAAAAATCAGTACAAAACTGGCAGGCAAAATAGTATAAACCCTAAAATTCAAAACACATTAACAAGAATTAAATAAACGTCACTCAATTTCTATGAACGATGCCAATCAAACCGAAGAAAAATTGGAGGAAGCTGATAAATTATAAAAAAACAAATACACAAGAAAATGATGAAGTTGAAGATTACCGCTTGGAGGGCCTGGGAGGGCTTGCCTTGATTGAGGAGCTGGCGAGACAATGTGAGCAAGTCCCTGGCGACGTCACCTTGGCCGGTGCTGGACGGCAGCTCCGGCCGCCCAGCCGCCGTCGTCTCCACCTCCATCATTTCCATATCCGTATGGTTCATGTTGGCATTCTCTAATCTCCAAATTGCACGCCGATTTCGTATTTGGGTTTTAATTTTTATAGTCGGAAATGTTTGACGAAAGAAAGCTGGAGGATTCTAGCAAATTCTTCAGGTTAAAGATGTCGGCTTCCTAACCATCTCTCTCTCTCTCTCTCAGAGCGATCCCAGATGTTTTGATGTTGTGGGCTTTCATTTCGGATCCTTTCTTTCTGGCCTTTTTGTTTATTGGGCTTCTTGGACCCATAACAGCTTCTAGTCCAATACACATTTTTGAGCAATTCTTTTTTTGCTATTTTGGCAAAAAATTGTCATTTAGATTGATATAACTTCTCACTTTGGTATCTGAGATTTGAAATCAATAGTTGGTCCCTGAGTTTGTCTACTATCAATCATTTTGGTTCTTACGTGAAAAATCTCCACTTAATATGGATAAAATGACAAAAATATCAAATCATTTTGGCTCATTGTTTATTAAATTGAGAGTATTTTTGTTATTTTGGTCTTTATTGAACAAAATTTTCACAGAATGACCAAAATGAGTGATGATGGACAAACTCAAGGACCGACCAATCCTATTGATTTTAAATCTTAGGGATCAAAGTGAGGAGTTATGCTAATCTCAGAGACCATTTTGGCTAAACAGTCTTCTTCTTTTTTGGGGTTTGGGGGGGAGGGGGTTCGATGGAGTAGAATTTTCTCCCCTCCAAATCTACTCCCCTTCGCTCCCCTCCTCTCTCACTTTTCTCTTTATTTTTCTTTCTATAAAGAAGTGCATACAAGATGTTAATGTGATATAGTAGTGACTGTTCAAATAGGAGAGAAGGGAAATGGAGGAGAATTTGAAGGGAAAAGAATCTTACTTCATGTTCGACAGCTTTTGTCCCACATCTAATCAACTTAGTAGCTGATTATGTTTGGGGCAAATATCAATGTTGAACCCACTAGTAGCGGATTGTTGGAAGGACACTACTTGGTTGCTGAAAGTTTAACTGCCGCTCCTGCTAATGCCCAATCACATTTAGACACGTGTCCAATTTATATTACAATTTCAATTATTTAGACATGCATCCAAATATAATAGAAAGTCACTATGATGTTGAGTGGGACCAAGGCAAAATTAGGTGGGTCCACTCATTCACCTGAGAGCTTGAGAAGGGTGATGTGTGGGACCTCAAGTGAAAACTTAAACGAAAAATAGCAAGAATGTAATCAGTTAAAAACTTTCGACCAAAAAAAAAAACCAGTTGAAAACACAATCATACGCTGCATTCATGTTCACCGCCTAATTTCTCTGAACTATAGTTAACTCTTCATCAATTGAATTTACAACCTGTTAGGCTGTCTCTACACCCCCAGCTGACAGTCCTTGTCATTACCTTATCATTTATGACAAGTCCGACAACCAATCATTCATACACATTTCTTATAGCGGTATCTCTACCCAATCAAACATTATGACTTGTTTGAACTTTCTCCCTAACAGTTCTCGAATGATTTGAGTCCTTCTGCGTTATCTCAACCCAATTACAAATTGTGACGTGTTTTAACTTTCTCACTAACAGTTCTTGAATGATTTGAGTTATTGAATGATTTGAGATACCGCAATAGTGACGTTATGGTTTCAGTTTTCTCTCCATGCATAAGGAAGCTAAAGATCACAAACAATGTAGCAGAGCAAAAGTGACCATTAATAATTAATTTACCATAATCATGTGTGATGAATCTATTTCTCTCCTCTACAAAATAGTTAATACTCTTAGGTGACTGATCTAGTTAGCTACCATGTGTGTTCATCCCACTTCATTTTCAACCTCCTCCATGGATGATATTGTCTCATCTTTAATCTCCTGTAACATCTTCAACACCTGCCACATAGTCGGCCTCTGCTCCGGCGAAGTTGAACTGCAAGCGATCGCCACCTCCAGCAGCATTGCCATCTTATCATGCCCATCATTTTGCTCATCTTCCCTCAAGGATCTTACCCATTTCATCGTATCATTGGGCGGCAAAACCAAGTGCTGCGATGGAGGCTTCCCCGTGAGAAGCTCCACCAACAAAATCCCAAATGCATAGACATCGGACTTTGAAGTTGGTTGCTGCTGTTGATCATGATGATCGTGATCATTTGATGAGTTCGTGCGAGTCTCTGGGGCTTTGTATGCAGCTGAATCTGGATCCTCCTCAGACGTTGGGGTAGTTGTGGCGAGAACGGAGAGGCAATAGTCGGTGAGACATGCTTCGAAGTCGGAGCCAAGTAGGACGTTAGTGGACTTGAGATTGCCATGGACAAGTCTCCATGCTTGGTGGATGTAAGAGAGGCCTTGTGCTATGTCCTCTGCTATTTTCAAGCATGACGTCCAGTGCAGCGGCTTTGCCCTAGTTGATTTTCCTGCAACACATCGATCATTAGAAACTTGGTTTAAGGTTAATCAATTAACAAAAGTATTTTATTTCAGTTAATTACTACCCTAAAAAACAAGAAAATGTAACGTTCATGCACATGTTGCATGCAACGCATGTCCCACATTCACGATCATGTGCTACTCACATCATGTAGCAAATGTAAGACAGCCGTTCCATCAGCGAGTGCCAGAGAGTTTTAGCCTTGAAAACGCTAATCAGACATGTAATTTCAAAACGTAATCATGCCCAAAACCAAGAAATCATGTCCAATAGGACAACTCTCGCATCAAGTGATAAGCAATAGGCTAATCAGACCAAAGTAAGCAGTCAATTTCTGAGATTATGGAACCAGCCAAAAGAGAAGGAAGAAAAAATCGAGACATCCAAAATCCGTCAATTTCTTATGAGGAAAAGGTCAAGCAAGTAAATGTGACTTGGGATTGCAAGCCAACGTACAATCAATATGAAAAGAGTGCATCACCATGATTCTATGAACACTATACAAATATAATCATTATGTCAATTCCTAGAGAGAGACTACCCTACACCTTTCCTTTGGCATGTTAGCGTGCCGTTTTATTGAAAAGTTAAAATACATGACACCGTATTATTAGTCCGAATCTCAACCCCAATTCCTAACGCTGTCTTAATCAAAGGAGATTCTTAGCTATCTCGAGACGTGTCTATAAACACAAACAAAAATACAACTGGTTACTAAGCAGATTGTCCCATTTTATTCACAACCAAAATTCTCGGCGTCGATAAAGCAAAGAGGTGAAGAAACAACCAAATCTAGTACAATCACCATGTTCCATGGACCAGGATCCTCTCCTGAGCTAAGGATGAGGATTCTCCTCATCAAGTGATTTCATTCAACGGTTACAATTATTATAACTTTAAAGGTTACAATTATTATAACTTTAAAGGGACCCTGATTATAGCCGTTGGATTTTCATCAAACGGCCCATACTCATTGATGAGGAGGATACTCATCCTTAGCTTAGAAGAGGATTCTGGTCCAGGTTCTATAACCTAAAAAGCATGTAAACATAGTACTAAAATGTTGAGATTAAGTACGCTTACGTGTCAAACTCGTATTGGCTCCCCTAAATTCTTCATCCACAAAACGGTCAAAGAATCGAACAACAGTCAAACCGAGTCAACCCAACTCATTCACTCACCCACTCAACTGAAAGATTTGAACATTACCGTGAACGAGAGAGAAGACGCTGCCGTTGGGCTGGTAATCGTACACCAGCAGCCGCTCGTCCTTCGCCTGAAAATACGCTCTCAGCGGCACCAGATTCGGGTGTCTCAGCGCACCCACCGACTCCAGATGCCGCTCGAACACCTCTCTGCTAGTCCCACTCAACTTCCCGGCATCGAGCCTCTTCACGCTCACGATCAAGCGGTTGTCCAGCACCGCCTTGTATGTCGTCCCAATGGTCCCCTTCCCCAGCAGCTCCGCCGACGCCCGCATCAGCTGGTCCAGCGAGTACAGCTGCGACTCGCCCGCGCAGAACATTAGGCTCCCGCTCTTCACTACTTGAATCCCCTGCGCCCTCTTCACCTTCTGCTCCAGCTCCTCCTCTATTTCCACCACCGCTGCCGCCGTATCCTCCGCCGCAGTTGGTCCCCCAGAATTAACGGCTTTTCGGGTTTGGGATTTCCTCTGTTTCTTCACCGCGATTGCGAAACAGAGGAGCGAGCAGATCAGGACGAAGACGCCAGTGGAAAACCCGATAATGAGGGCGTTTCTTCTTGGGATTTTGTGACTCGGCTGAGTCAACTCAACGCCGTGGATATTTTCTGCACTGCTCTGCCCGTGCACCCTCGTGGGCGGCGGAGCTTCGTGAACATGAGTTGCGCCGAAAAAGGGTCTCGTCCGGTTGCATTCCTTATTCACAATCTCGCCGCAGAGGCCTGGGTTCCACGAGAAGGATGATGCACCGAACCGCAGCAGAGTCGGAGTGACGGGGATTGCGCCGGTGAGGTTGTTTCCGGAGACATTGAATGTCTGGAGCGTGGACTGGTTTAGAGGCGGGACCGGTCCACTGAACCGGTTCCAATCCAGCCGGAGGTAGTACAGCCGGTCCAGACCAGTGATTAGAAATGTGGGTAGTGTTCCGGTGAGGTTGTTGTACGAGAAATCGAGGGTTCGGAGGCGGTGGAGGGAGGAGAGCGATGGCGGGAGGGAACCGGCGAAGGAGTTGTGGTCGAGGAAGAGCGTTTTGAGGTTGGTGAGTCCGGTGAGGTCTGGAAGCGGCCCGGTGAGCGAGTTGTTCTGCAGACTCAGGACTCTGAGCTGGTCTAACCGAGTCAGGGTGTCGGGCGCGAAAATGCCGCCGAGGTTTTGGGACTGGACTATGAAGCGGACTAGTTTGTACCGGGCGCCGCATTGGACGCCAGTCCAGCGGCAGAAGGACTGGAAGGCGGTGGCGTTGGAGGAGAATGGAAGGGCGCCGTGTAAATCCGCTTTGGATTTGAAGGCGACGAGGGCGAGAGCGTCGGGTGGGAGTGATGGTTGCGTGCCTGAAGGCCTAGAGGAAGTAACAGTGGAGGTTGAGAGTGAGAGAAGAAGTAAAAAGATGTGCCATTTCTTGAACATTGTTGAAGAAACGGAGCGTAGCTGTCTGTGTGTGGTTTGTAATTTGCAGAGAAGGCATGGAGAAGAAGAGAGAGGGCGAGGGTGCAAGCAGAAGGTGACAAAAGCATGCAAGGAGCAGATGTCGGACTGCAGAGCCCAGAGTCACGTGAAAGTAAGTTCCCAAAGCCAGAGGTTAATATGGGTGAGGAGTTATCTGATGACGTTTCAAACTAATCAGTGAATAGTAATTATTTTTCGTATCTCTAAATCTAAATAGAATAGCTATGTTAATAGGCAATAAGATATTAATGTTTTTAATAAAAAATAATTTTATTTTAATTTGGAATATGATTTTTAATCGATCTCATCACATCTATGTGTTATTATCCGAAAGTACAGTTTTTGTAGATAGATTTCGATAAGATTTTTAACTAATTATGTCGCATGACGTGTCCTTCCATGTTTAAAATTGTTGAAATATTGAAATGAGTTGTAAGGTGGGAGAAAATGGTAAGGTATTTATAGAAGAAGAAAAAATTATAATTTTTTAAATTTTTTTTTAAATTTTTTTTAAAATTTTTTATTAACTTAATTAAGCTCAACTGTTAGATTACTATAAAAAATTTGAAATCCAACCGTCCAAATTGTGACACGTGTTCCCTTGAAACATTTCTGTTTTTTCTTTTTTTTTATTATTTTTAAAATGAAAAATCTGAATCGTTGATCTGGAAATCAAACGGTCCAAATTCAACTGCTATTTAGTGGGTTGCAAAGTGGGCCCCACCGCCTAAAATCTTGTCAATAACACACCCCCACGTGCTCGTGTTATGCATGCGCCTAATACAAAAAAAATTATAACGTGGCTGACGTCAGCCTTACATCACTTCTCCTTAGGCGCTCGGGGTCTTGAACTTGTGCATGAGCTCTCCCACGGGCTCTCCCTTAGCCCAATTGCCCGAATGGGCTGGCGCCACTTTGAGAGGGGATTGGATTGCAAATCGGGCTTGTCCATAGGGTAAAAGAGCACGGTGGAAGTGCTCTCATACAACGGTATGTGAAAAATTTAAAAGAATAATATTTGGTTATTCAAAGATAAGTATGAACTCCTACTCAAAATTTCTCAAAATTGTTCGTTAGCAATTTATAGAACTTTGTATCTATAATCAAAACCATTCATCTTATAAATCATTCTATAAAGATCGCATCTGCAAAAAATCAATTAAAACTAAGGTCATTTAGTCATCAAACTGTTTAAAAACAAATGAACGGTATTAGTAAAAACATTACGAACCGTCTATGTATTTGCTAAAATAGATTGACTAAACGAATTTAGTTTTAATTTATTTTTTGTATAGATAATCTTTATAGTGTGATTCATAGTATTAATGGTTCTAATCATAAGCACAAAATTCTGTGATTAAAACACTAAGAGTTTTGAATATATTTGAGTATCGAAGTATTGTTCAATTTAAAATGTGTGCGTCGTATTGTTTGTTCAGCAAATTATTGATCATCTTATCATATTTTAATTAATTTGAAGATCATTTAGTTATTGATATGTATAAACAAATGATGGTTTTAATTTAATGATTAAATGAATTTAACGGTTAAGATTTGTCTAAATACGTAAAAGTGCACAAATATAGAGATTCGGGATCAACCGTACAAAACATAATATAATTTATTGCATTTGGTTTTTTGTCAATTGATTTCAATTACCCTAATTAACAAAATCATTAGTGCCTGACAAGAACACTGATCCATGTGTTTAGTTGTATTTAAGAATATTAGTACAAAATAACATGATTTAGACCAATATTATATAAACAGAAACATTGTTAAGTAAGAATTTCCACATACACTTCCTCAAACTTCATGTGCACGTTAAAGAGTAAGAATATGTGAAAGTGTGTGTCAGTCAAACAAGAAACATTTTTTTAAGAGGACCTCGGGGTAAAAGTTTATTAATACAAAAAAAATGGTTACACATAATTAGGTTATAAAGCAAGAATAATAATAAAATACAAAAAAGAAGAGGGGACATATGAGCAAATTCCTCTAAAATAAAACTTAAAAGATAAGAACGTGTAGAGCAAGCTGCAAAACAGAAATGAAAATTTACAATGATTAGGTACAAAACACACACATTAAAAGTGGGAGACAAATATATATGCTGACATGCCCAAGAAATTTGAATCCAAAAAAGGAAGAATCTTTATAGGATGAGCGCCATGTCAAATAAGTGAAGACGAGAGCAGTCCTAAACAATGTTTAAAATTTCTTATATTTCCATGAAAATCTCCACAAAATAAAAGAAAGTTATGGAAATGGGGGTGAAGTCTAAAATTCATCTTATATCGGACAAACTCTTAAGTTTAGGCTAAAATCGACATATATCGTAGATATTTTTTATAAATATGTTAAATTCGTAAAAACTCTTATATTTTGTCCAAACCAATGTTTGACAATGGGGTGTGATATCCACACACCCCATTTTACTTCTCACACACCCTTCTAATTTTCGGTCGTCGAATCGGATGAATTGAAGAAGATCATTGGATAGAAATTAATAAGGGTGTGTGAGAAGTAATTTGGGGTGTGTGGATAGCACACCCCTTTGACAATTCCTAAAGTTTCATTTTAAGTTTCCATCATTTTCATCGAAAACAACTGATATCAATATCGATATTTCCACAAATTTGCATCTTGATATTTTCACCGATACTGATATTTTAAACACTGGTCCTAAATTAACTAATTTATCAGCAACTGCATTTCTTTCTTGAGATGTATGAGAACAATAGAAAACCATTTGCTGCAATTGGAAAATACAGTTTTCCATCGAACCCAAACAATCAAGGGAGAAGAAAAAGAATCATAAGCAAAATGCTATGCTAAAATTTAGTTAGATCTAATTTCAACCAAAACTTTTTTTTATTCAGTTACGAAAAAAGTTTTCGAACCACTAAATTTATAAAACCCAAAATGTACTAGTTCTTTTGATTTATTTTCCGACAAATTGTGCTATCAAAGAAGCAAAACGTGCGAAGAGCCTGGGGTAACCTGAACTAAAGAAGGAAGGCAAACAAGCATGTTACAAATAAAGAAGAAATTCGAATCAATGATTTTCATATTCTTGTTTTTTTTATTCTGCACTATTCCTTTCGCATTAATCTCTTAACTTTTCAATTTAATTTTTTTTTAAATTTAATGAAAAAGGTTTGAAAACTTTGAGTTTTAACGATAAGGACAAAATAAAATGTAAAGTGAATAGTACCATAATTGATTTTTTAGTGTAAAAATATAATTTTTTATTAAAATAAACAGTACCACGAACTTTTCATTAAAATTCCCTAAAAAAAGGACGAAAGACAGCAGAGTGCGCAACCACTTCTCTGACCATTTCTTACCTGACAAGAAAAGAAAAATAAAAGAAAAAGGCTATTGTTTTAGACACGGACAGTTAGATCCTTTTTTTTTTTAACGTTAGATTTGATTATATTCGATTTAAGCCGTTGGATTCAATAAATATATAAATATAAAACAAAAAAAATTGAATGTGGACCGTTGGATTAACCAACTGTCCAATTACCACCACCACCCGATGAAGAAAAGTAGTTGTTGGCTACAGGACAAGGCCCACTTTTCACTCTCATCCATGGGTCCCAGCAGCTTTTGTGGGCTAAATTTGTGACCTATATTTGCCTTCATTTTAAGTTTTAGGTTTTGGGTTGGAGTGAATTTGGGAGGGGAAAAAAAAGGAAAATTTTAGGTTATAAGCCACCATTGGAGATGGTCTAACCAGTTACCTATGTGTCCGTCTAGTAGACTAGTAGTCTATCACCGTACTTTGTCCAATTGGCAATGTCATTTAAAGGATAAATTTTTTATTATGACAGTAACACAAGTAGTATAACATATGTTTTATTAGGAATGGTAAGAAATTTTATTTTTTAAGTTATTAATTTTTTAGCACACATATCCTATAATTTGTATAATAATATATGATATAATACTTCGATCACACTGAAAAATCTGTCAATTTAAAGGACGATGCATTGCACTCTGCTTTGATTTGCATGCAAAACACGTTACTGTTTCTTTCTTCTTTTATATGGACCGCTGTCAGCCTAAGCTTAAAATCACTAAAACTTTGGGCCCAGTTACTACATGTCATAAACAAGTCGTGTTGAGCTTCCTTTTGCAGCCCAAATATCTTTTCTCTATTTAATTTGAACGATGATTTACAAGCATTGAGAATATATACACACACACGTATGCATATGCATATATATGGAGACAAATCTGTGATATTATTTTTTTTATACAATTTTTTACACAAGGTTTTATAGAGCGCATTCCGTAATATATTTCAACGATCCGAACCGTTTATATGAAGAAAAAAAAGGTATATACATATATAAAGGGGGAAAGACAAAAAGTGTAAGGCTTTCATAATCTCAGAATTATCCTCCTCTCATAAGAGTTAAAAAAAAAGGCATTAACAAAAAACCTAGAACTCACCAACGTAGTGGGACTGTGGATGGTTAGTAATTTTATTATTTTCTAACTAAAACAAGTAAAATTAAAACATTAAAAAATAATAATAAGACAAAAAAATTGATGAAATAAAAAAAAATACGCTTGTGATAAGATGCTAGTATATATGACAAAGCCAATCCAAGAGGTGTGGTGATTAATCCTATTGAGGGGTTAATTTGGTGCGGCATCATCAACTCCTAGAATTTAGAGCATGCCATGCTACAAAGCAGCAGGTCGCTACCCCTTGTGAGGAAACTGAGGATGCTCTCTTTGCTGGACGTCATGTTCGATGGAGGCGGCCCAACTATGGGGTATTAAAGGTTAACTGTGACGCGGCCTGGTGCGGGGTGTCTTTGAAGGGAGGATATGGTTGGGTAATAAGGGACTTTGCAGTGCTGTTGCAATTGGCAGGCGAAGAAGGAGGCTTATTTTTCAACATCGCGGCTATGGTTGAAGCTGGGGCGATCCGTGCGGCATTGATGGTATGTATAGAGATGGGTTATGCTATGGTGGACGTTGAGTCTAATTCTTAGTTGTTAGTTCGAATGCTTAATGGGGAGTATGCTGTGGTGGACGTTGTGTCCCAACTAGGAGAGGTGAGGTGTTTGTTTGTAGAGCGGAAAGGAAATGTCGTTGCTCAAGTTGT